CGCTCCAACTCTTGTTGACGACTCTCGAGTTTTGCTCTGAGGTCCATGCATTCGGTTGGATTCAGACCGGCCAGAACGGCTTGCGTTTTGAAGCATCTTCCAAGCTCCGCAAGGTCACGATAATGCTTAACAAGCCTCTCTCTTCGTTCCTTGATGGCTTTTGCTTGTCGATCTTCCAGAGCATTGTTGAAGCCCGTCGGACCTCCTCGCTCTCGAACAGCAAGCACTTGCAGATCCGACTCTCGATAGAAGCGGGTCTTGACGGAACGGGAAGGATGGGGGGCCCATTGAAGTGAAGAAAGGTCCTTGATCTGATACTTTCGTCTGGCCTCTGCTGTGGTCAAGCAGTTGAGTGCGCGGTGCATTCCAAAGTTCACGCAGCAGATTGGCAAGCCCTTATGTGGTTTCATGGGCCATCGCAATTCGGTCCAAACATTGTTGCAGATTGTGCAACACTCTCGAGGCCAAACGGTCTCAAAATGTAGCGGACCGGGTGCGACGCTGCATGGAACGGGGAACTCATGCATGGTCGACCCAATAGTGGTATGTGCATCTTTGCAGGTACACGCTGAAGCCGCCAAGTCCGGAAGACCGAGCAAGCCATTCTCACCGACCACGTTCAGAGCGGACGCAAACTTGTCGTTCAGAGCCATGACAGAATAGTACAAAGTATCTGATCTACTTTGAACGCGCGACTGATGTCACCCACCCCCCTCTATTCTTGCAGGAAGACGGCATCTTTAACTTCTCCGGCAACACCCTCATCTCCTACGGCCTCCTATTGCGCAACCACTTTGCCGCGGCCCTGGGGGCGGCCCACAGCCTCAACTTTGAGGCGCGGGACATGGCGACGAGGTGCCTCGAGGGGCCGATTGTCCCTAGGCTGGACGACCGGGTGTTCGACTCGGCGATGCAGGCCTTCAACGACCTCGCGGCACGGTCTCAGATCCGTCACGTGTGCTCACGTGTCGATTGCGCGCACCTCTACACGTGCGAGGTGAAGGCGGCCGAGGCGGAGGCCCGGAAGGCTGGCAATCCCTTGAGGCCGGAGCGAACGGAGGGGCCGAGCTCTGAGCTGGCCACCTACGCTTTTGGACGGGACAAGGTTGTCGTTTTCGATGGCACCTTCTTCGCCAACTCGAGCGCGATGCGGGATTCCGACACAGAAGCCTCGTTGCACAGCATCTGCGAGCCAGACCTGGAAGCGCCGAGGGTCGCTGGGGGCTTCACCCCTCTGAGCGTGGGGGGAGTGCGCCCCTCCGACGTGCCACTGGAGGGGATCGACTGTCCTTGGAAGTATCGCAACGGGCTGTCCGAGTTGCGGCCGGCCGTGCGTGCTCTTGCGCAGAGGTGGTGCAACTTTCGCAAGGCTCCAGCGCAAGGGAGCTACGCGCCTCTGAAGCCGGAGGAGTTTGTCGCCATGCGGGAGGGGCTTCCGGCGAACGTCGTCGCTCTAATCGACCTCGTTATCGAGTCGGGAGCTTGTGGCGACCCTGGCACGTGTGCGACTTGCAAGGCGGTGCCGCGGCGGCCGTGGATGCAAGGGTTCCTCAAAGACGGGCCCGTGGGAGCGACCGGCTGGTGCCCGACGCACTTTCAGCCGTATGGAGCCCTCCTTCATGCCCTGCTCATCCCTCGCTACTCGTGGGTCTTTGGGCACGTGGTCACCTTGAAGCTGCTGAGACACGTGTTGCTCGAGGGGCCGCTCGACGAGCGCGGGCTGGCATACCTCTCCAACGACGGCCCCATGCTGGCGGCCATCTTGCACCTCCATCCCGTTGCCGGGGGGCTGTACGCCTTCTCGTCGACGCTCCGTCCGCTCGTGCGCGACATCTATGCCACGAACCTCCTCTGCTTCGAGCCGAGCGCGAATCGACCCGGCCCGTCCTCGCGTTCGCCTCTGGCCGCTCTCCATGATGCTACGGAGCACCTGTGGGCAATCGAAGGCGAGAGGCTGAGGCTCATGGGTCAGCTGGAGGCGGCCGCAATGGAGTACGCGGAGCAGCGAGGGGCGGCACTCAAGAGGGTCGCCAACTCGCTACTGTTCGAGCTGGAGGTTCGCGATCCCCCATGCTATGGCAGCGGCGGGATTCTTCAAGCGCCATCGGCCGCTTATGCGGAGCGGGTCAAGGCCGTCTCTGTCTACTCTTTTCACCCCCTGCTGTACGGCCGGCCGCAGTTCGTCGATTGGGAGGACGGATCCGGTCGGGGGAGAAAGGGTTCCGAAGAGCGGCTCACCCAGCACTGCAGCGCTCCCAACCCTCGATCCTCCAAGGGGCGCGCGGGGGTGTTCATCGCGTGCTGCCAGGATCGGGCTCCCTTGGGGTACCACTGGCTGAAGGGCGGTGAGAGCGTCTCGGACCTCGGGACGGTGCTCCCAACGAGATTCCCTTTCAAAACGCTGCGGGGGCTCACGATCGTGGAGGACGCCGCTTGCAACGCGCAAGAGTGGTGCTTGAACCGGGTGCCGCAACTGGCCAAGTTCATGCTGTTCGTCGTCGACCGCTTCCACTCGGGGCCCGTGAGCTGCGCACCGGCGGGGGCGAAGCGCTACGCAACGCACACGTGTGCGCCAACGCTGTTCATCGACTCCTTTCCGCAACATGGCCACACAATTACAACGGCTTCGGAGGGCATCAATTCAGGTTTGAAGAGATGTGCAGCTAGCCTCCAGCAGATCACGAGTATCAAAAGGTTGCTGAGCCGTGTGACGACCATACTCGACACTCGACACGTTATTCGAACGGTCAAAGTATGCTGTCTATTCGAGCGAGGCTAGCAATCCGTTGAGAGACTTGATCAAGCGGGCGCGTGGCTGACGTGCGGCGTCACTACTCTATTACTCATTACCCACCGTCTCAAGTTCCATTCTCTTTGTACATTTGTCAGGTGGTGATGGGTTTTTGAAAGAGGTTCCGTATTCAAAAAAATAATGGTTAATGGAGTAAGAGGGTAATAAACATGTGTGGTCAAGGCTTCTCTCATGGATACAATCATGTGTGTGTGTGTGTGTGTTATAAGAATACTAATGGGTAATAAGCTATTTGGTACTCAACGACTTCAGAAAGATTTTGTCTTTCTTGCTTTTTCGAGCCAGTGCATGCTCTTCTCTATTCCTCCTCACCACCAACACATGACGAGCACTTTTGCTCTGCGGCGGATTGTCGCGACTCTTTTGAAGCATCAACCAGCTGCTGAAGAGCATCGGGTTGTGTCATCCATGGCCCTTCTTTATCCTCGGTATAGTCGAGCCGCTGCCAGGTGTCCACCCACTCGACGGTCGAGCTCAAAAGCTTGCCTTTATGGAGGGCCTCGCAGATAGCGCCCTGTGGAGGGAACCACCACCCCTTGTGTGTCCGCACCCCTTGAATGGAGCGTGCCGCAGGCCTCATGTTGAAAATGGCATTCAGAGAGCGTCTCAAGATGTTGATGTCGGTATGGCGATCCTCTTTGATGTCCAACTGAAGCAGGAACATGTCATATGTCCGCTTGATGTCCGTCGATGCTACCCACGTTTCTAAAGAAGGGTGAAAGCACCCGTTCTCGAGCAGCGCTTGCATCATATTGACGTGAGGTGGAATCGAGTGTTCCTTCAAGCCTTCCCCCCAAGCTGTGATCGGCATCTTCTGAGGATCCCAATTGGTTATGTCAATAGACGATAGATATCGATGGAAGTGATATGCGGTCTCGGGTTTCTCCAACTCATCCACGAGCTCATCAAAGTATTGCTTGTTTCCCATCTTGGCATCTGAGACTTGCTGGCAAGAGTATCGGCGATCGTCTGCCTCTCGTTTGACAGGCCAGAAGTTATTTGTGGTGAACACAATGTTGCTCTTGTCATCCACGCTGATAGGGTCTTGGCCTTTGCGCTCCATACACGTCTCCTCTGGGGTGATTAGGGACTTTATCCGGTCATTCATCCGAAACGCGCCTCCCCAGTTTCCGGCTTCATCAAAAACAATAAGTAGCCTGTTGGCTCCTAGTGAGTTGAATTTGCCAATGACCTTTTCGATCTCGTTGCAGTAAAGGTAATACTTGCCGCCAAGGATTGTCAATCCATAAAACTTCCACAACGAAGACTTTCCACTCCCTTGCCCACCGCGGAACACGAGGGCCACTCCAATCTTCTTCCAAGGCCTCTGAACGTTGTGTGCCATCCATTTTATGTTATACTCGAATCGCTCGGGAAATTGATCACACAGAATGTTACGAATGTGCCACATGAGTTTTGGCATCCGACCCTCGCACTCTACGAGCTCTGATTGTGTTAATTTGCGGTCGAGTGGTTTTAATCTCAGCCCGCTGAATAGGTTGAAATGTCGTGAGGACACCTTTGATGGGTCCGGCTCGAACACAATCTGATCGTATTCCCGACGTTTTGGGCTGCTTTCCCAAAACTTCGCAACCTCCTTGCTCTTTCCAGATAGGCTCTGGAGTTGGAAGTTCCTGCAGACCTCCAAGAAGTCCCGGCCGGACCGGTGGATAGTCTCCTCGGACTCAAGCTGCCCGTTTGCGTCTCTCGAGTAGATTGTCTCCAGGTAGACAGCCTTTGTCGAGCGGACGACGGCAAAATAATGGTTCATGATACGCAAAGCGAGATCGAGCAAGTCCAGTCTTGCTCTCCTTGTTCGTACGTCATCCTCCTTTTCCTTCCTTTTCTCGTTGGTTTCATCTGTGGACGGCTCAAAGGGAAAAATGTAGCTCTCGCAAGTCTTGAAAAGTTCCCCTTCCACTCTCAGAGGCAAACACTCGGGCCAAAAGTGAATGCCCAGCAGTTGCTTCGGTCGATCAATGCACCCTGGACTCAGACAGCGGTACACAAGAATGCACCCGTTGCCCATGATGCTAAATTGGTTTGAATCGTGTTGATGATCATTTAAGCAAGTTCGCGTGCCGCTTGTCTTGAACTTTAGGATCTGCCACCCATTAGGAGTCCTTTCTCCAATACCGTTGAACGTGCTGGTGTCGTTTTGCACTTTATCACGCAGCAGCCTCTTGATCTCTCGGAGCGCGCCTTCCAATCCGGGCAGTGTCTCCGTGTTTTGCACATTTCCAAGAGGTGCTGATGACATCGATGTTGAGTTATCAATGACAAATGCGGTGGCAATCGAGTCATCATTGCATGATTTGTGCTTTTTGGTCTCGATTTTGTCTGTTGCGGTCTGTTGAACGTGATCGTTGAGAAACTTTGCAAGCCAGAGAGGCATGTCCTGGCATGCATCAAAGCTTGGAGGCCCGTTGAGCCATTGGTACGTCGCAAGCTTTCCCTGATCCTTGACGTAGCTTGCGGGGTGAGCATAAACGACTCCTCCACCAGCTCGACCGTCAATACGATAGACAGTGTCACCAACCTTGATGGTCTCGAAGTTACGGGTGCATTTGAGGCCGGGCGAGTTGGCCTTGAAGTAGAAATGAAGCCCGCCAGAACCTGCTTGAGCTTTGAGTGTTTGAGGCTCGCCATGTTCCAAGTTAACAAGACGGTTCCAGAGCTTGATCCGCGGCTCTTTGTTATCTTTGCTCGAAACGTCAACGTCAACCACAAACACCCGACTGGGACGTGTCAGGATCGCGACTCCATTGGCGTCCTTCCTCTGCCGCATTGCTTCATCGATAGAATGTTTCCACAATTCGGGCGTCGTGATGTGTGCGTATTTGTGTGGAAAGTCGGCATCTTTCCTACCCTCTTTTTCATTCCAGAACATGCGCACGGGGATTGCATAGAGCCCAACATTGGAGAGCCGTTGAATCTCTTCTGCAACGGCTCGGGGCCCTACGGGTCTTGGGACTTGAGCGGCCTGAGGTCCTGAGAGGCTGGCCTGGGCGTCTGTCATTTTCTTTTGACATTATGAGAAGATTTTAAATCAGGCGTTTCAAACGCGCGTGCGTCCAATCTTTCTTCGTTCAAATTTTCTTACCATGACATTAGTACTGAGTGACATGGAGTTGCACCATGAAACCGCTTCAAACGATTGCTGCACTTGCAAAGCGTGCGCAACTATTAAGCATTTTTATGAAAAGCACCCGGATGCTCGAAAAACTTACACGAAAAGGTACTACTATAGACATAGGGATACAATATTATTGGCCCAAGCCTTTGAGCGCTACAAGAACGGGCATGCATCTCAGCAAAAGACTCTGAAGCGCCTCTTTGTTGCAGGCTTTCCAGTAAAGATTCCGTATAATGCATGGCAATACGATGATCATCAAATGACGTCTTCAGACACGTCAGATGATGCCAAAGTGCCATCGCTCCCTTTGGGCTCGTTCGTGGGCATCGAAGTGTCCTAAAAAAAGCTGCCACATGGCGAGGAGATTGTAAACCGTTCAAAACCGTATCCGAGAGCCGTCCGGGAGAAATTTCTTTTCATAAATCCGCTGTGCCATAGCCGCCGTGTGCAACATGCTCCGCGCGAGGTCGTCGCGCTCGGCAATGCTCGGAGCATCTTTAAAGAGGTTACCGACGCAAATTTTGCGAAGGAGACACGAACCCACACTTGCGTCCTTAAAAAGGCCCGTGCTACAGAACTTGGTCAGATAGTTTCGACTCATCGGCTTGTCGGGCGACTTAATCTGAGACAAGAGGTACTTTCTGGGGAAGACCTGAAGGCTTTCGGCACTGACATTGTTGCATCGGGTTGACATGTCTATCGAAGTGGGTCCGTGGTGCTTGACGGTCTTATAATCGTTCAATACCAAACGAAACTGATCTTGTGCAATCTCTAAAAGATAGTTTCCAGAACCGGACATGATCTCACGTGCCTCGGCCGTTTTGATGTCGTTCAAGCGCACAATGGGGCAATCGCTGTAGTCATTGCGGATTGCTGGTTGATAGCTATAAAGGCACAGAATGAGGTGGCGAAAAAGCACAAATTTGTCCTCATCGGTCAATTCTTCGGGCCTCTTGTGCAGGATCTTGCGGTTCACGTGCCTTTGCAGCTCTACTCGGCGCTCCGTAATCTCGTCCAAGGTCTTCCAATTCGCCGTTTCCCGCTCAGTCAACTGCTGGGAAGGAGGCTTCGCATCTTCCATGAGCTTGCGAACCTCTATGTACCGCTTGTAATAGGTATCATAGAGCTGTTTGTCCTCGGGGAATGCTTTCCGCACGAGAACCAAGAGCGGGTTGATTCCAGTGGCCTGCATTGACAGCTTTGTGGGATATGTTTCCTGAAAGTACTTGATGATTCCATTGGCATCCTTGATCCAATCGAAGCTGGTGAAGTCTCGTTGTCTTTTGAACCCTTGAAACAAGCGCACGACATGCTTCATATATTGTTGAACCGTCAGGTCCTTTCGAGTACCATCCTCGAACGCCGAGCGCAGCAGCCTTTCCCCCTGGGTTACGGTGGTTATGCGTCTCGTGGTTTCAACAGACCCTTGCATCTTTCACAATTTCTGGATACTCTCAAGAAATTTTGACCACCTCAAAGTCTCCAATTCCAGATACCATGAATGACTCCGTTCAAAATCAATCTCACGAAATTGAGATGGGTAGCAGCTTTTAACGGTAAAAACGGTTATGAGTGCGTGTAAAAGCCGCCTAAAAAGCCAGATGCCCACTCAATTTTCAGCTGAAATTATACTGGCGCTGGATACTGTGACTGGCGGTGTACAGAATTCAAAGATGGGGACTTTTGGCTGATTCATGTTATCTGGGCGACGTGATTTAAGACGCTTCGTGAGCCACTCGAGCCTTCTCCGGATTTGCAAGCATCTCAAGGCCCAAAAGCGGCTCAGTGTCGTCCCACACAACGCTTGGAGCATGAGAAGAGGGTGACGGGGAGACCGCTCTTGGTTCCGTGCAATTCGTGGGAGATAACACTCCCTTTTCATGCACGCCTGAGATTCGCAATTTCCGTGCCCGACGTCGTGCGTGAGACGCGTGATTCAGGGCGGCTCGCCAGCTTACCTTTATTGCATATGGGCCGTTTAGGTTGGTCTTGTCCCAGTATGCGTTGAACCCATCAGCGACCAGCGAGCGTACAAGCTGTCTGGTGATATGTCGAAGATCAAATGGCTCCGTAAGAGCTCGCATGCCGGCCAGAGCCGCTGCATCCAATATTGTATCTAGCAAGCCAAATTCTTGGTACGATCTTACAATAGCTGATCGAGCGCTCTCAAGGACGCATTTGTCCATCTCAATGATCGCAAAGCGCGATTGAGGACGATAGCCAAGAATTGCATCCATTCAAACGGTTGACGTATCGTTCACGAAGAAAAATCACAAGATACCATTGCACGCCACCGTTGATAGTGGGATTCCTTATGACTAGTGACAACGCATGGTTTGTCATGGCTAGATGGCCGGTCTGACTTGAGCTGGACCACACGTTGCAAATAGCTCTCCCTAGCAAAGAGTGGGGTTTCTAACATTCATTGGCAAGGTGTGGTCCGTAACTCGATGGCCGGCCTAACTTATGGGCGGCAGGACCACACCTTGCACGAGACTCTTCCTAGTGAAACGTGGTCCTCCTAATAACGATTGGCAAGGTGTGGTCCGACAAACGGCTGGAACTGCTCGCCACATGCTTCTCGATGGTGTGAATGGCCGGACTGATTTACGAATACTACAGAGTCGGATGGCCGGTCCGGCTTATTCGGCGGCGGATCACACCTTGCATACGGCTCGTCCAAGTATAAGAGCAGGCTTGCAAACGATTATTGACAACTTGTGGTCCAACAAGGGGCCGAAACTGCTCGCCATGCACATGCTTTTACATTGCATGAATGGCCAGCTTGGCTTACGAGCGCGTAGATTGGGGCTTGAAACGGCTTCGTCATGAGGAATGAAAAGTATTCACGTCATGAACTTGCAAGGGGTGTGGTGGAACTGGAGTGGCCACTTGCTTTGCACATCCAATCATAGCACGTCGAGCATCTTTCAATTGAGCATAACAAAAGTCAATAGGGCGCATTAAAAAGCCCGCATCGTCAATAACTCAATTCGCATGTAATTTCAAATTACGTGCGCTCGCTCCTTCTATCAAAGAGCATCTCGTGGATCATGATGCCTACCCAACCACAATCTGACACCCTTCATCCTGGGTCACCATCGCTGGCCATCTAAAGTGAACCCCGTCAACGTACTCTCTCAATGCTACGGGAACGATCCGTGACTTTAGAGCAAATGAATCTTCGAGTCGCAACTTCAACAGCTGAGCCATGAGATCCACCCCCACCGGCCCATCGACCGGCCGTGTCCGCGTCTTCGGTTTCTGCAGCAGCTTCCACCCCCCATAAATACGAGCACCCCTCCGCCCCTGCGCGTTCCGTGGCAATCGGCCGTTCTGCACGGCCTCGAGCTGCAACCCAAGCTCCGAGAAGACGTGGTTCAGGGCGATCGTGGCCGACTTCTGCTTGGCTAGAACATCCTGGTTCGGGCGCGCGCGCGCCTGGAACAGCTTCACGTTCTCAGAGTAATCCCGGAAGTAGCTGGTGGCCGCCAATTCCCCTCTCAGCTCTGCAAGGGTCCTCGTGACGTGCTCGTGGGCGAGGGGATGCGGAAAGCCCAGCACCTGCAGCAACTCCTTGGCGATGGCGGCCTTTTGGGGGCCGTACCTGTGCCGCCCAATCTCCTGACTGTTAAAGTCGTACCCGGGGTCGACGACTTGCAGAATGAACTCGACCGCAAGGTTCGGATAGGGGCCAAACGTCTTGAGGAAGTCGGCAGCCAACTGCCGCACACGGTAGAAACGTGTCAGCTGGTACTTCTCCAGCTGCACCCTCTCCCCCGGGTAGTCCTCATTCCTGCGAACCCGGGCTTCGATGGCGGCGAACTGACCAGGGGTGATGTCAGGGGCGCTGATCATTTGCTCGAGCAGAAACCTGCCCCTGACTTGATCCCCCCCGCCCGGCTCCCCCCCCTCGGCCGGCTCTAGGACCCGCACCCCCCTCACGACGTGGCCGTCGCTCTCCAACAGCTCCGTGAACTCCTCGTAGAAGTGCGTCCGGCCATTGAAAAGCTCCTTCTCGTTGTGAGCAAGAAGGCGCGTGATTGGGCCCTCGCAGAAAACCCCCGCACCGACCCTCTCGTCCCGGTTGAGAAACCACTGGTACGTCTCCTCGACCCCAAGCCTCGGGACCTGCGCGGCTTTCTTCCCCATCACAGTCCTGTACCCGCTTCCCTCTGGCCCCGTCGTCGGCAGGTTGATGCCCTTTCTGACGAAGCACAGGACCAAGGGGTTGACCAGCTGCCGGACCCGCCCCTTCATCTGGTCGAGCCCCCGCGGGTGCGTGCTTCTCTTGCAGATGTACACGAACATCCGGTGGAACCATGGCCGGTTGAAGTCTACCCCCGCCTCCACCGTGGGACTGATGATAACGAGTCGCTTCGCCCAGCTCTCATTCACGTTCCCGAGGCCCCGTTTCACCTCCCCGTGAGAGTGCCGCGTGATGACGAGGATCTGCCCCTCCGCCACGAACCCCCGCTCTGCCACCACGCTCCCCAGGTCCCGCGCTCTGTCCGACGACATGCTGACCACGAAAACGTTCTGGCCGGCCTCGAGCGCCTCAAAGATCGCGCTCTCCCACAGCTGGAGCCCTGCCCGCCCCTCGAGGAACTCGAATTCAAGAGGCCGCTCCGGCACGTGCTTGTTGAAGAGCACGGGGGAACAGCGGATCTTGTGCAGCGTCAGGAAGTCGAAGGTCCGCTGCCCCAGATGCCCGTCGAGGCAGATGACCCGGCGCGCGCGGCGAAGCAGCTCGGCGATCAGCCGGATAACGAAGTGCCTGGCCGAGAGGGTGTCGGCCGAGAGGTGCGCGAGGATCGACTCGCTCTCGTCGAGTATGAGCAGTTCGAAGGCCGGAGCGCGCGCGTCGTCGCCGAGGAGCCCGGGCAGGCTGTCGACCTGGCAGATGACGCGCGGGTAGAGCTCCCTGTCCGCGAGAGGCTCGATGAAGCGCCCCCCGACCTCGCGCCCGCGTTGCGTCTTCAATTCGCCGTAGTGCGCAAAGTCGGGGTTCTTCCCGGCCGCATCGCTGGCTTGTGTCTGCCGATAGGTGATCGCGAGGGCAGTCTCTGGTCGGGGGGGCTCATTGAGGATGGCCCGGGTGGTCGTCGACTTTGCGGTGTCCATGGGGCTCCTGATCAGCGCCGCCTTGTAACGGCCAGCCTGCCACCTGCAGAATGAAGCGCTACGCATGAGCCAACAGCAAATTACTGATTTGCCACAGCCAGCCCGGAGATTGGGTTGTCCCGTTGGTGATAGCTTCAACCTGCGGCGTTCGTTATCAGCGGTCGATCTGTCTCAAAACAATCGCTCACTCTGCCACGAAGAAAGGAGCCGACACAGAAGCATCACACATAGCATCAGACATGGCTGGACCACACCTTGCACAAGGCTCTTCCTAATTGTCCTAAGAATCATTAACACCTAAGAATCATTGACAGAGTGTGGTCCGACTTCCTTCTCGCTGCCAGAGCGAAAACACTTTGCTGTCCCTGGGGGGTGCGTTCACATCAGATTTCAAACCCCCCACAACAGCGGACAGCGTTCGCTGTTGTGAAGGGATCCGTTTGCTGCCATTTCTGCCACCCCCCAGAACAGCGAACATACTTTGCTGTCCCTGGGGGGTGCGTTCACCTCAGATTACAAACTTTCCACAACAGCGGACAGCGTTCGCTGTTGTGGGGGGATCCGTTCGCTGCCATTTCTGCCCCCCCAGAAGAGCGAACATACTTTGCTGTCCCTGGGGGGTGCGTTCACCTCATATTTCACCCCCCCACAACAACGGACAGCTTTCTGTGCTCGGGGGGGGTCCGTCCGCTGACAATCTGCCCCCCCCTTCCAAAACAGCGGACATGTTTTGCTGTCCCTGGGGGGTGAGTTTTCCTCAGATTTCAGCCCCCCCCACAACAGCAGACAGCTTCTCTGCTCCGGAAGGGGCCGACAAGGGACGAGAATGATGGGGCTTTTTGCTTCTAAGCGGCAGAGATGGCCGGCCTGACTTACGAACGAATTGGACCACACCTTGCATAAGGCTTTCTCTAACGGTTCTCAAGAATTACTGACAGGTGGTGGTCCAGTCAATTAAAACAAACCGTGACATGCCCGGTGGCCAAAACGACCTACACGGGTGGACCACATCTTGCGCAACGCTTTCTTTAACGAATCCTAAGAATCTTCGACATGATGTGGTTCGACAAGGGGCGAAAGTGCTCGAGCCATTTCCCTAAAAAAGGCAGAGATGGCCGGCCTGACTGACGAACGGACTGGACCACACCTTGCACAAGGCTCTCCCTAACGGTTCCTAAAAGTCATTGACAAGGTGCGGTCCAAAAAGGTGGCGAAACTGCTTCTGAATGGCAAAGATGCCCGGCCTCACTCAGTAACGGGTTGAACCACACCTTGCGGAAGGCGCTCTCAAGCAAAGAGCTGGAGCTTTAAGTAGGGTCTAAATGAGCTCTGACACTCACTTGTTCATAACGCTCGTTGAACACGACCATGTCCGTCAGGCCTCGGGCCCCGCTGCGAATCTGCTGCAGGTCCATGGGCGCCGCAGCCAGCGGCTTCCGCTCCAGGTACCGCATGTTCACCTCGACCGCCCCGTCCTTCCAAGTCTCGATGTCCACGTAGAACGGACCCAGGTACCGAGCGGGCAGCTCCTTGCAGCACAAGCCCGTCCCCACATCCATGCGCGCGCTGTCGCACTTTGCAAAGACCGCGTTGCGCTCCGGATTGGCGATGACGAGGATGTCGCGCGAGCCCTCGTGGACGTTCCCCGAATAGCACGGCTCGCTCCGGTC